ACGGGTTAGAGACGGGTTAGAGACGGGTTGGAGACGGGTTAGAGACGGGTTAGAGACGGGTTAGAGACGGGTTGGAGACGGGTTAGAGACGGGTTGGAGACGGGTTGGAGACGGGTTGGAGACGGGTTGGAGACGGGTTAGAGACGGGTTAGAGACGGGTTAGAGTCGGGTTAGAGACGGGTTGGAGTCGGGTTAGAGACGGGTTGGAGACGGGTTGGAGACGGGTTGGAGACGGGTTGGAGACGGGTTGGAGACGGGTTGGAGACGGGTTGGAGACGGGTTGGAGACGGGTTAGAGACGGGTTGGAGACGGGTTGGAGACGGGTTGGAGACGGGTTGGAGACGGGTTGGAGACGGGTTGGAGACGGGTTAGAGACGGGTTAGAGACGGGTTGGAGACGGGTTGGAGACGGGTTGGAGACGGGTTGGAGACGGGTTGGAGACGGGTTTGAGACGGGTTGGAGACGGGTTGGAGACGGGTTGGAGACGGGTTGGAGACGGGTTGGAGACGGGTTGGAGACGGGTTGGAGACGGGTTGGAGACGGGTTGGAGACGGGTTAGAGACGGGTTGGAGACGGGTTGGAGACGGGTTAGAGACGGGTTAGAGACGGGTTAGAGACGGGTTGTTGACGGGTTAGAGACAGGGTTAGAGACGGGTTAGAGACGGGTTAGAGACGGGTTAGAGACGGGTTAGAGACGGGTTAGAGACGGGTTAGAGACGGGTTAGAGTCCACTGACATGGGATGAAGATATGAAGAGTTTGGTTCCAAAATGCTATCAATCCATTTTGATTAATTTGAGTAAAAATATGTTTTCTTTACCAAGAAAAGTGGCAAGTGAAAACTATTTTCTGTTTCAAACTCTCACATAGCATCTTGAGGTTATAATAACATTACAAATTAAAATACAGATTTTGATTTTCAAAGATTTATTTTAAAAACGGATAATTTTTTCTCCAAAATGCAATAGATCAATACAAAATGTATTGCAGCAACACACACACACACACACACACACACACACAGCTGCTACATGCATGCAACACAAACACACACACACACAAACACACACACACACACACACATACGGATGAGATGGCGGACAGAATGCGCTCCTAGGTGTGGTTAAACTTTACCCGTCTCGATGTGGACAATGCTCGTTACCAAAAGTGCAAAAAGAGTTTAGCATGTAAGGGCGGTAACACGAGCAATTTGTCATTTAGCAAAAGTGCACCACATTCACCAAATACATGGTCTGTATAGTACAAAATAAATTATATATGTTTGTAAGTAGATGACAAAAGCCGGTAGAATGCCGGGTGCATTCAGGGCGCCGCCATTACTGTTTACACTGCGTGGAATGGTGCTCTGGGATTGGTTGAGCGGATGTATCGCATTCTATAGAGAAAGGAGACTGGCGTTTGTCGCTGTTTGGAAAGAAAGTGAGAAAACAGGACAAAATAACACGGCGGATATCGCGTTTTGCGTAAAATTGAATATTGACTTTTCAATACCGACGAAATACGATACTAATTTTGGCGGGAACTCTTTTTTTCAAAAGTGGCGTTTATCGCGTTTTGGAACCAAACTATTAATATCTACCTTCCAGCTTCTTGATTCTGGCAGCGCGGGTATCCAGCAGCGCGGCCTGTCGCTGAAGCTGCTGCGCAAAACCTCCTCCATCAGCCTCCATCTTTTGCAGCACCGCCTGCAGCTCCACCTAAGGAAACATCACAACTTTTCAAAAATTTCCAAAATCTGACAATTCTCACTTTTCTGATAATTCTGACTTCTGAAATGTTTTACTTTTTCCTCAAAGTATGACTTTTTTCCAAAAAATCTGACTCTTCTGCAAATCTAAAAATTCTAACTTTTCTCAAATTTGGGAATTTTTTCTTAAAAACACAAAATTCTGTATTTTCTCTGAAAATCTCAAAATTCTGACTTTTTCCTGATTCTCAAAATTCTGACTTTCTCCTGGAAATCTCAAAATTCTGACTTTCTCCTGGAAATCTCAAAATTCTGACTTTTTCCTGAAAATCTCAAGACTTTTCTTAAAATCCCAAAAATCTCCTAACTTTCATAAAAAGTCAGAATTTCTTTATTTTCGGAAATAAGCCAAAATATTGTGATTTTCAGGAAAAAGTCAGAATTCTGAGATTGGGATGTGGAAGGATGCTGCTGTTGTGAAGAACTGTTCTAAAGTACACCTGAATATGAGAGTCACCTTGAAGTCCCTGTAGTAACACTTTTTCCTAAACATTCAGATTGTTCGATGAAAATCTAACATTTTTGATTTGTATCTGAAATTATGGCTTATTTCGGAAATTTGCACATTTCTGACTTTTTCACAAAAATCTCAAAATTCAGATCTTTTTCAAAGAAATCTCAAAATCTGAATTTTTTCCAAAAATCTAAGAATTCAGAAAAATGTCAACATTTTTATATATTCTGAAAATAGTCAGAATATTGAGATTTCCAGAAAAGAGTCAGAATTCTGAGATTGGGATGTGGGAGAGAAACTCCATCTGGAGGGAACACACATATTTTAACCTTTGGAGACCATTTACATCTAACACCTGAAGAACTACAGGATCAACCCACAACCAGGAGGACAGAGGCAGTCTGCTGCTGGTGTGAGGACCTGTAGACCTGGATATATGAGAGTCACCTTGTAGTCCCTGCAGATGCTGCTCTCCATGCTCAGCAGGCTGCGGGTCTTCTGCAGCTCCTGGATGGTCTCAGCGTGAGCGGCTCTCAGCTCCTGCACCTCATCCTGCTCCTCCTGCACCCCCTCCTGCAGGAAGCCCAGCTCCCCATTAGATTTACGCTTCTGGGGAGGTGATGATTAAAGGGTCAGGAAACACAAAGAAAAGCCATAACGAGAAACCTTTGTATCTTTACGAAAAACATCACTTTCACATCAGACATTTTGAAGTTTTTCTGGAATATATAAAAACATTTATCTCTTACTTTAATGAGCAGCAGAGCCTCAGTGAGTTCAGCCACGTCGTACTCGTTCTCCTGTAACAAGCAAACAACCTTTATACCTGTATATATATATATCACCTGTATATACAGCCTGTTATCACCTGTATTCTGTTATATCCTGTGTATACAGCGTTTTGTATTTGTAGCGTTTTGTATCTGCAGCGTTTTGTATCTGCAGCGTTTTGTATCTGCAGCGTTTTGTATCTGTAGCGTTTTGTATCTGCTGCGTTTTGTATTTGCAGCGTTTTGTATTTGTAGCGTTTTGTATTTGTAGCGTTTTGTATCTGTAGCGTTTTGTATTTGTAGCGTTTTGCATCTGTAGCATTTTGCATTTCTAGCGTTTTGTATTTGCAGCGTTTTGTATCTGCAGCGTTTTGTATCTGCAGCGTTTTGTATTTGTAGCGTTTTGTAAATGCAGCGTTTTGTATCTGTAGCGTTTTGTATCTGTAACATTTTGTATTTGTATTTGTAGCGTTTTGTATTTGTAGCGTTTTGTATCTGTAGCGTTTTGTATCTGTAGCGTTTTGTATTTGTATTTGTAGCGTTTTGTATTTGTAGCGTTTTGTATTTGTATTTGTAGCGTTTTGTATCTGTAGCGTTTTGTATTTGTAGCGTTTTGTATCTGTAGCGTTTTGTATTTGTAGCATTTTGTATTTGTAGCGTTTTGTATCTGTAGCGTTTTGTATTTGTAGCATTTTGTATCTGTAGCGTTTTGTATTTGTAGCGTTTTGTATCAGTAGCGTTTTGTATTTGTAGCGTTTTGTATCTGTAGCGTTTTGTTTGTATTTGTAGCGTTTTGTATCTGTAGCGTTTTGTATTTGTAGCGTTTTGTATCTGTAGCGTTTTGTATTTGTAGCGTTTTGTTATTTGTAGCGTTTTGTATTTGGTGCGTTTTGTATTTGTAGCGTTTTGTATCTGTAGCGTTTTGTATTTGTAGCGTTTTGTATCTGTAGCGTTTTGTATTTGTAGCGTTTTGTATCTGTAGCGTTTTGCATTTGTAGCGTTTTGTATCTGTAGCGTTTTGTATTTGTAGCGTTTTGTATCTGTAGCGTTTTGTATTTGTAGCGTTTTGTATTTGTAGCGTTTTGTATCTGTAGCGTTTTGTATTTGTAGCGTTTAGTATTTGTAGCGTTTAGTATCTGCAGCGTTTTGTATCTGCAGCGTTTTGTATCTGTAGCATTTTGTATCTGCAGCGTTTTGTATTTGCAGCGTTTTGTATCTGTAGCATTTTGTATTTGCAGCGTTTTGTATTAGCAGCGTTTTGTATTTGTAGCGTTTTGTATTTGTAGCATTTTGTATCTGTAGCGTTTTGTATTTGTAGCGTTTTGTATCTGTAGCGTTTTGTATTTGTAGCGTTTTGTATTTGTAGCGTTTTGTATCTGTAGCGTTTTGTATTTGTAGCGTTTTGTATCTGTAGCGTTTTGTATCTGTAGCGTTTTGTATTTGTAGCGTTTTGTATCTGTAGCGT